GAATGAAAATGATTATTATGTCATCACTCTTTCATTTGTTGTGATTTATTAATTAGAAACAGTTAATTACATGGCATTTCGTTCTCAATTTGAACGTAGATACTCCAGTCGTGATAAATACTGTTAATGAAATACAGTATTTAACGGGACAATTAAGATGTTTCACCGCGTTATTAAATTAATGACATAATCACATAAAATTTAACTGTTAACATTTTTGGTGGGATTACGTTCTCTGAGCTAGACGGAATAATTGCACAGCTTTTGTTTTCGTCACCTAGAAGAAGGCAACCAACAACAAACAAGATGTTGAAATTAAGAATCTGAAGGTTCTAAAAAAAATTAACAGCGATGTTTTTATACTACACATATCAATTCTTTATCAAGAGTTATATATAAATACATAACTGATGTCATTTCATACAGAAAAGGTTAGTCAACCATATGTTCCGAACCCAACAAAAAAAAGTTGATCAACATGAATGCAAAAACAAATGAAGATGATAAAGCTCACAAAGACAACTGGTCACAATAAGTTTTTCAAACGAGCACAACGACTGACTTGACACTTGCGCAATAACTGAAAGACATACATCTATTTGAAGTAGGCGCCAATAATGTTATCCATAGCACCAATTAATGCTCCTTAATTAATACATCTATCTCAGATGGTTCAACAATAATTAAAATATTTACCTAGGCTGCAAATTTCCATCATTTCAGGGAATATTATCTCATTTATTTTATATAACCCATATAATCATGTAAAGCTAAAAGCATAAAAATAAATAATTAGTTAACCGACTCATTTTATTTACATTACTCAATAATGTGGAAATTTCCTGTTTTCTGTATTGTGTGACTTATTTCGGTTTTGGTTATATGATGGGATGAGTGAACATGCATTAATAGAAGATAATTCATCCATAAATCATTCCTTTCTAATTTACACTTCGGTCGAATTGGTATACAGAGAAACAATGAGGAAGAAATTAATAAGATCATAACAGAACTGATCTTATTGTTTCCAGTTTATCCATACATTTTTTAGTATTCATGTATAACCAATAGTAATTTTAAAGTATTATTCTACTTGGAATGATTTTCGCATTTCCCATTTAAATTGGGACTTAAGTTACGAGGATCCTAGAAAGATTGACAACGGAAATTTTAGTGAAATTCATTTTGAAAATTTATACCTGTTTAAATCAGAAAGAAGTTTTGAGTAAATCACTAAAAGACTCGTAAGTGAAACATATCTATCTATAAATTTTGTTAAAAATGAACATATATACATGGAAGCTGAGTTTTCACTTTTGGCCAGCTTAATTGATCCCTAAGTAGTAAATGTTATGTTTCTTATGTCCTTAGCGTTGACTATATTCTATCGATCAGGTTGGAACTTTTAAACTAGTTTAGTTGATTTGAGTTCCTGTTTTGATATAAGGTGATTGAGAATAATCGAATGCATTTCAATCTTTTCCTAGTTTTTTTTTCAAGATTTCAGATATAGATAGTTGATATGTGTCAACCAGGAGAAAACCAGATTTTCTTATCGATTTTGATTTTTGCCCATGAACGTTTATATGTGTTAAAGATGGTATATTCAAAACATGTTCTGGGGAATATTATATATTTTGTGTAGGATCAGTGACTTGAAGTGCTCTTTTTTAATCTGAATATTTTTTTGAAAAAAGAAACTTATTTAAATCATACTATCAATCTAATTATTTCCCAAAGTATAGATTAAGGAATTTTACTGGAATTTCTGACGTTGCCTTGTGAGTGGAATGTTGGAAGAAAAAAACTTAAAAGTTTATTCTATTCCATAATTTCTATGGCACTTGGATTAAATCGGAAGGATCTTTCTCAACGAATCTAGTTGTTTTTTTCATTAATGGACTATCGTTCTTACAAATCACTGGTAACTAATACCACTCGATGTTTAATAACTATGCCATTCCATAAAAATGAATGAGAAAACTGGTGTTCATTAAAGTGTATTTATATCATAATCACCATCAAATACTAAATTTCAGATAGTAACAAGTAGTGTATTATGAGACATCTGTAGTGTTCTATTCGAAATGAATTATTAACTAAAGATGATTTACCGTAAAAATTGAAAAATTTTATTTTTATGATAGATTTGTAACCTTTTTTCTTCCTCAGACTTAAATTTGTCTGAATGTATTGATTAACAGTAGCAGATCAGTTTGTAAATCAGAGACCAAGTGATTGTAATATGGGATTTATTTCACGATATCAGGTATTTCTCAATTGCTTCTGTCTCATGTTTTCTCACCAATTCATCGATTGATATACTCTAATACCATGATTACAAACTTACGTGGGAACTAAAGTCAAGTGTTTTATTAAAAATTGTTGTTAACCAACGAACATTAAGCATGATACACCAAAATGTCGACTGATTAAGATTATATTCTACCTTATAACTTACAATCCATTCCAATTAGCTCCAGGGTTTAAATATAAGTTAACATTTAGTAATCAACAGGTGTACTATTTAATATCAAAATAAAGAACCAATGTCCTGGTTGTAACCAATCTAGAGTAAATGATCATTCATTTCTCCTGGTGTTGATGTCTTCTCACTAAAAATATGCAGATTTAACTATCAAAGATATTGATAAAGAGTTCTGTTATAAAAAATGTCACAGTTAAAGATATATTGAAAAGTACCAGCTTATTATGTAACACTAAGAGTAGGCAGAACTTTCTTTGTAACAATCAAGAAAAGATGATAAATTTAATGGTATTTCTCATCATATAAGAGTCAAAAATTCTTTTGACATTCAAATTATATCTCAGTACATGTAGATAAAGATAAACGCCATACATCCGTATATTTGCATCAACCTTATATGACAATTCTATTGAGACAAAAAAACAAACTACACTACATTTCATTTATGCTGACACTATTAATCTGACTATAATCCTTCAAGATTCCCGTATAATAACCGCCTTGTAGAATGAAAGAGTCTTAATAATTTATTTTATAAATCTCTAAAACCCAGGCACCAGAAAATAATATCGATCGTTCAAGAAAATATTGACTGTGAAACAATTTACCTATCATTGATCTTCAGTACAGGCGTAGAAATTCGTTTATGATTAAATGTATTGCACTGAGGACTGTTAATGAAATTAAGCTTTAACCCACTGAATTGGATTTATTAACAACAACCAATTTATGTATAAAGTACATATAAAATAACAAGATAAGTAATATGTAAACTACCTACTTGTGTGCCCTATTTTCATGGTAAAGATAATTCAGTTTTCGGTCATCTTCATGATTAGAAATTTATTAAGTTCATTTCTTTGTATACAATTAGCATGTATCAGAAAAACCAGATGTTTTAGAAAAATAGAACACTTTATTTAAGGAAATACAACAGGTTTATCATACATTATAATCATGTTTGCAGTATCACAAGGTCCGATAGAAACAAAGAATATGGTAGTAAATATCAGTAAATTAATGAAATATAAATAATAATAAAGTCGACATCCGGTTAGTAATTAACCTTAATAAATTAGTACAGTTATATATATATATATATATATATATATGACCAATGCTATAGAAATTATCATCCTTAAACCATCAGTGAAATAATATCACGGGTAATGATTGAATAGTAAAACTGTGTGAAAATCAATGTACTCGTCAAAATATATATGGCATGGATTTAAAACATAAATTGATGACCAACCTATAGATAGTTCAGATTAAGGATGTCACTGACTAAATAGTCGTAACAAAGTGGACAAAGTAACAATTCTAGGACAGTAATGTACTTTATTATTATTTAATCTTTAGGTCTGAAACTAGGCCACTGTCATAAAATAAAGTTTCATTTTTATGGTAAAACAACGTTTTAGTATTTAAATTGCAATTCACTCATCCGTTTGGCTATATAGCGTTTTGACAATTTAGCTGATGTTAGTTCGTATTGAAAAACCTAAATCTAATTCTTAACCATAACCATCAACTGTAAATCATAACCTTAATTCCTCACACTGGTTCATAACCCTCATTTAGCACTAGTAAGTGAACATCCTCAAGATCACTTTAGCTTTGCTTGAAGGTTATCTCATCAAACTCGCTAGATGGATATTCGCCCAATGAAATGTTGACATTTATGGCGAAACTGGAAATGAATACCTGACGTTTCAAACACCATAGTGTTCCATGATTTGAGCAAACTACTGTTAGATATTAAAGTTGATTAATTTTCTATTTCTAATATTCCGTCCTTTGTTGGGAATATGAACTACTAGATAAAGTGAACGTTTCATACTTTCTGATACTAGTCATATATATATATATATATATGAGTTAGTTTTTAAAAGTAGTTACAAGTTACAATATGCTTACTAGTGACTTGCCATTATTTGAACAAAGGAATACAGATTCCTAAAAACTAATTAGATAAATATTAATTCAGTAGTAAAATCTGTTCTGAAATTCACAATAGATGATAAAAGTGCTCATCGATCGCAATGGTTCTAATGTAGTGAACGCTGCTCACAAGATTGTTTGTAAGTAGAGTGCAGCGGAATGTGACGTCGAAGTTGCTACAATTGTTAGACGGTGTGAAGAGTTTCAGTGCATTGAATGCACAGAGCTGGCAGAACACTTGAAGACAAGACTAGAAGACAATTCAGATGGTGAAACAAAACGAAAGATGAAAATAGAAGATTGAAGGTTATGTATAATGTATTATATGAGTGCTGAAACAAATCAGTTTATCTGTCTCAAATGTAATTTTGATTAAGTTATTTAGTGCATAATTAATTAAAAAGTTATATTTTCGCAAACCTAATCGAAGTATAGGAACTTCGAAAATTTCTAAACAGATATTCTAACTCATAATGTTTGTGCAGTAGTTTCTTTATTTCCGATATGACATCTTTCATCTTTAAAATTTGTTTAACACCTACTTTAAATGTTATTTGAATCTTTTCAGCTTAACTGAAAATAGAATCGCTTTTCATTGTTTTACGGAACCGTCCAGCGTGCGTTCTACGTAGTATTTTCGATATGTCGAATCGAAGATGAGTTCTGTTTGAGAGATATCAACTAAATGTACCTGCGTTCCAATGCTGGGACTTGAACCTACTACATTCCTCTTCGAATGCGATAAGTAGACAACTTGCTGGATACTGGAATTTTATTGCCCAGGATTGGTGATTTCACTCGCCATATGAAGATCATTCTGATCAGACAGGATAAAGATACGAGATCACAATTTTTTTATTCATTGTGATTGTTGCTAAATGTTACTTCCCTTTTTAATCTGGTGTGATTACTGCTCAAAATAACATTCTTTTTTTATATTTTCAGTTTAGTAATTTACTCAACGAAAGATTGGTTTTATTTTTAATATGATCTTTATCCAGCATGACTTTATTGGTATCAAATTAACGTGAACCATGTTCAGCATAAAATGCAGCTTGTGATTTAGTTATAGCTCTGGGCATTTTTCGAATATGCAACTTTTCTTTAATTATTAATCAAGTGAATGCACAAGTCAATAAATAAATGAGCGTATTTTTTACTACTGTCGTCGTGTTCTGAGTGAATAAGCATTCACTTGTACCGTTATTTTGTGTTCTTACTTCTCAATGTGGAAATAATGGTGGTTCCTTGTTTTTAAGTATTAGCGGTAGAGCGACGTAGATATAATAATAACTCTTAAACTCATAGCACGATCCTACAAAATCTTACTAATACGCACATATCTATTGAACAAGACTGTGGTTATCTGGACACTGTAGCTCAGTAGGTAACACTCTGGGCATTTGAAGAGAAAGTTCCTAAGTTCTGGTGTTAGTGCAAAAATCAACACTAGGATACAGGCATATTCAGCTAATGACTACAAATATAGGACGAAATGGGAGATTCGAATTCCATCCCCAGTTGCATAACAAGCATACTAAAACTTATGATATAAAGTTACATCAAAGTGATTTGGTTACGATGCACATATAGCAACAGAGTATGTTCTTGATTACTCTATACTATTTTATGTACAAACATGAGTGGTGATATAAATTTCCAGTTCCCATCAAGCGATTAGACTATGTTAACATATCTATGAGCTTAAATGATCTTTGGTTTCTTCTCAGTTCAGAAACTCAGAACGTTATATATTTTGAGAGGAGGTTTTGTGACGACAGAACACTTTTCCCATCGATTCCTTTTTACTGTTACTACTTTATTGATGGCCTTGTTAAGCCTTTTTTATACAAAAGTCACTACAAAATTGTGGGACTAAGACTTTGAAAACTTTTGTGACCGAACAAAATGATTTAAAAATTTGCGACAAAACTTGAAAAGAATCGCTCATTTTAAATATTAACTTCACAGATACTTGGAGTTTGACATTTCATAAGATAAAAAAGTGAATTTCAGTTACTTGCATAAACAAAAAGTCATTTACTCACAAATAATAAATCCTTCCTCTTGCTAAAGCTAGCAGTCACTTATCCCAAGTTCAATTAATGTGTTGTATTCAGTACTTTCTGTCATTTTCTCATCTATTCAGTCAGGGGGGTGTTGCATTTCAAAGAGTAAATCTCGCTAAATAATTAATTTGAACCACCTGGAGTTTTCCACAACTAAGTACTATGAACATGTCAGTATAGTACAGTTTAAAATGTAAGACGAAACTCACAAATATGTTGAAAGGTAAATCTTGAAAGTCTTGTGGGAGTTACAACTCATATGCAGCAGTCACTCACTAAATAAACGAACAAATCACCAGAAGTGCTTGATATGACTTAATTTTCAAACATTTAAAACGTGATAAATAACTTCTACCAATATCAGTTAGATATGGTTGTGATTTCTCTACCGATGGGATTTTTTACGTAAGATGGTGGTTGGAGGTAGTCGCCAGGAAACGCTGGACATAGGTTTCTTACTATCTGGCACTCATCAGCAAGATGCACCTAGAATCTTGAGGGAACTGATGCTCCCTAACGGATTTGACACCGTGCCACCCAGCTTCACAGTCAGAGACGTTACCACTAAGATATCCGAGCAGTGACCGGCCTCTTGTAGAACTGAGATGTACCCACGATTTTATCTCAACTTAATGTACACAGTGTCAAGTCACCTAGACTACTGGCCACATTGCAACTTGGTCGGTAGTATTCAATCTGCACTAAGAAGTACCTGACATTGATCATCGCCCAGTGATCAGTCAATTGTTTTGGTGGAGTTTTGTTCTCTGAGCTGGATGGTTTGGTCGTGGAGCTTTCATCGTTCTTCTGAACGACATCATCAGCACAAACTTCAGATAGAAGTGAAGTGTTCGAATTTCTCCACATGTGTTTCACAGCTTGTTCTGTGCACCTCGATGTTGATTGGTTCTTGTTGACCTTAAATTTATCATTGTTTACTTCTTTGTTTTGGATGTGTTTCCCACCTGAGCTACAAATCTTCTCCACCATCTCAGTCAAATGTCTTTTACGTAAATCTGAGTCATATGGACATTATGACAATATATTTTGTGATTATTTGTTGAGTGATTTCATAGTTGAAATTATTCAAACTAATTTTTCATTGGATATTTTAAAGCAATAAACAAAAATCTCTGGCAACAACAGCATCCATTTCGGTATAAAATCAAACATTTTCCATATGTTTTATATGCGTTGAATTTTGTAATGTTCATTCAATGCACTTTATGAACTATTCATTCAATAACCGGTTCAGTACATATAATCATACATTATCATTTCCTATTTAATAATAATCGTATTAAATAATAATTCAGTTACAGTCTATAAAATAAACAATCGTGATCGATTTCGCTTTAGATACTGATTTTCGTTCCATGCTGGATAAAAGTACCATATATATCGTACAAATATATATATATATATATATATATATATATATATATATATATATATATATATATATCCTGCTATAATCTGGTTCATATTCGTTCCAATGTGATTCACTTGATTTAAATATGGGGATGGAAATAACGCCAATTATTCTCATATACTAGATCTAGTGTATTCTGCTGATGTGTAGCAGAAACATTGTTCAACTGTTGGTTACCTACTTTATCCGTGTATGTGGAATACATGGTGTAGGTTCATATGTTTCATTATTAAGTTGACTTTATTTTCTTCAAAGTATATTCATATTCTATAAATTTAGATAAAACACCTAGTTGAACAATAATCACTTGTCCATTAGTAATTAATCTCATTATGATGAATTACTTAATAATTCAATTGATACCTTTAATCGACAATGTTAAGCATATCGACACTTAGTAACTCATAGACTGCATGTTAGCTGGAGATTGTCGACAGGAAACCCTTAACCCAGTTTGGTACTCCTCAACAAGAGGTACCTATAATTTTAAGGTAATTGAGTGTACTTAATGGATTATAACTGGTGCCACCCGGTTTCAAAGTCATAGACTTTACCACTGAACTATTAAAAAAGAGGTAAGTGGTTTTAATCATTTCGGTAGTAGTGTGTCTGATTAATATTAATTACCCTGTGGTCCGACTAATCAGAGAGAATCAATACCTTCAAGTGGATATGAAATCGACTGATACTGGAGGTATGACTAAAAGCACGTTCTCTATTACTTATCAAAGACTAGTATTTATATACTTGTCTTAGTGGTGGTAATGAAATAATGCTAGTAGTACAAAATAATCATTAACAATAAGTTAAAATAAATGATGAGACTACAATTTATGGACGACCTTCGAGCGATGCTAAAGTAACTTTGAGAATGTCCACCAACTTACAAGGGTTAAATGTGGGTTGTAAATTATTGCAAGGAATCGGGATTAGAATGTACTGTTGGACGCCATGTCAGAAATTAAAGTTGGGGTTTTCATGACGAACTGACACCGGCTATATTGCCAAAATGCTATTTATTCGTATGAATGAATGAAAATCCAGTACCTGCCATCTTAATTTTGTAAACGGAATACACGCATTGCAAATAATTTGCGATTGTACAGCGTTGAAAATGAATTTGCCGAAAAGAGAACTCTTCTCTGAACTAATCTTTTTTATTTAAATCTTAATTTTGATTGGTTCGTCCATAAATTTTAGTCTCGTCGAATTAATTTGGATAGTTAGCTGTAAAAAACATTTTATCTAATATGACATGCTAGATTCACATTAATTTAGATACCATTACTACAACTACTATCAACATTAATAATAAACATAACCATAACTTCTGTTTTCAAAATTCACTATTCGAAAAGATGGAGTGAGATAAAGAGAGCGTTTTATTTTCAATTCTTAATTCACAGCACCTGTCTCATTATTTACAACTTTTTCCTTCATTATTTTTATTACATGAATGAAACACTTACTTTTGTTGCATTTGCATGTAAATTAATTTTTTTTATAACATTGCTTTATCCCCATGTACATTAGGTAAATAAATTAAGAAAGAAGGTAATTGATAGCGCTAAACTTGAATGTTTTCTAAGCAAAGATGGCTGGAGGCTAGCAGTGGAATCTAGAACGCGCGTTTCGTCCCAGTTGGGACTCGTCAGCTGAATGTGCCTGAATCTCACGGTTGCTGTTCACTCCGGGATTCAAATCCAGTACCGTTCACTTCAAACGCCATCGCGTCATCCACTTAGCTACTGAGTCCTGATAGCCGGTTGCTTGTGCAATGGGATGAAGTTTAAATTCATTTAGTATTGTTTGTATGAATCTTTTCATTGATGTTTAGGAATGCGATTAATCAGTCTCTTATTGGCATATATACATCCTGTGCGGATTGCCAAGATATTACCTTAATTCAAATAAACAATACCAAATGAATTCAATCGAATGTTGTCTGTTCATAATAGTTGTTTACTTATGTGCTATATTCATGCATAATTCTAAACAGAATGTATCAATCTTGCATTACGATTTCAGAAACCTGGAATCAGACTCTTAGACTGATTAAATAATCATGTACTGTATAGTCATACACTTACAACGGCGTAAATTATCAATGAAATAAATATCTCATTTAAATTAATAGTATTAACATTAATAGAAAAATCTGTAGTCAAAATAAAACAAACCTACGACTCTGAAAATCAATAGTGGACACAATTCGATATTCGAATGTGTAATTTTAAAAAAGAATTGAAATTCAATTGAGGCGTTTTATAAAATTTGGGTCTAAGTTTTTTTATAATTTTGATTGAGAAATGTCTAGGAATTACGCACTTAAACCTTCATTTCATACAATTATGTTATTGAAATCCCATTGTTTACAATTTATAAATCTATTCATTCAGTGTCTTCCAGGTTCTGTCCACTTCATATTAATTGATGATATAGACTATCTCCAGCTTATATAAAACACATTTGAAACGCTTAGGAAAATAAAGGTTTGTTATTTGTTGATAGTTAACTATGAAATTATTTTGCTGATGTTCTTAAGGGATCTTGTAATCCGTGAAAAGAATCATTTTGCAAATTGCACCGAAGACATTAGATGATGGTTTGGCTATATCGTGGATTAAATGAAGTCGTAAGTTTAAACCA